TAAATCAGTGGCAGACAGCAGTGCCTTGTCTACATAAGGCCTCCCACAGCCAATACTATCAGTTTGAATGTCAGGGGCAGGGTTGGGAGAGAAACTCTTGTAGACAAGGTCACTGATTCACTGCTCTCTCGCTGTCTCTTCGTCACCCACTCCCATATCACAAATAAGATCTGGTTCTTAAAACCTTCCTGTTTTAATTGAAGCAACATTTAAAAACTAAATACACATGAGATTTTAATGGGATAATGATCAGTACGGGCAGCATCTCCATGAATTGGCGGTGCTGTATCTTAAGGGTAGCAAGGTGTTGCTCTGATAGTACATTGCTTCTTTCTGACTGGGAGAGTGGAGGCTGTGGATAAGATCACTAAGTTCTGCCTATCTGTGCTGGAATTGTTATGTGCAGTATCCAAGGCAGCCTTTCCATAAGACAGGGGTGTCAAATGTATGGCCTACAGGTCAGATCTGGCCCATGGAGTCATGTCACCTGGTCTGCATGGCTTGTGGGGCAAGTGAAGGCCAGGCCCACCACTGAAATTTCAGCATTGATCTCTGTCAGGAAGGTGTGTGGGCAATGGGGGATGAACAACAGGTTTGTTAACCCCCACAGCTCCCTGATGCCACTCACCCCACTGCCACATCTGGATCCAGCCTGCACGTTTTGGATCTGGTCAGGTGAGTTTGATGCCCCTGACATAAGAGAATATTAGAACTGGTAACAGCCAGTGGCCAAAGTGCAGCTCATATGCAACCTTGGAGATCAGAACCCATTTTGTGTTTGTGCAGTGTCCAGCACAATAGGCTTCTAGTTGGAGACTGGGATTCCTGGATGCTGTGGCAATACAAACAATAATAAAGTAATAAAAATCATAACCATAATAGGAATATTTATAAATAATTGAAAGAGACTGACTTGGTCAGGACTCCTGGGTTACCATATCTCTACTCAAAATGGATTTGTAAAGACTTTATTTCCCACCAGTGCAGTGTTCCCCTGCCTGGTTGTAGCAGGAGGCTGTGCGCTCCTGCTACTTTAGGAGAAGGCAGGCTGCCTGAAAAGCAGCTTGCAGGTGTGCCAGGGGGCAATTAGGAGTCACATGGCCTACAGGGACTGGGCTATCAGGATATAAGCCCAGAGCTGGAGCTGGGCAGGCAGGCTAGTCCTGAGAGCTGTGGAGAAAGGAGCTTTTGGGCAGCAGGGTTCCTGAGTAACATCTGAGCTGGGGTAAGTGACTCTGGTGGTTTGTGGAAGGGACTAAGGGGAGGTAAGGAGGTTCCCAGCTCGCCCAGGGAGAGAGGGCCCAGAGAGAAAGCAAAGGACCCAAAGATAGAGCGGGTAGGGCTAGGGTGCCCATAGGCCTCACAAGCATAGGAGTGAGGTCAGGGTTTAGGAAGAGCTGAAGGCCAAGAAGGGCCATAGCTGAAGACTGGTAAGACTGGAGACCTCATGGGTCTTAACTAGAGTAGGAGTAGGCCCAGAGTCTAAGGAGAAAGACTGAAGCTGCAGCCAGAGACCAAGGGGGCCAGAGTGCCCAAAGCCCAGAGAGGGGCTGGTGCAAGAATGGACAGAGCCAGAAGCCTGTAGCCCATAGGGGTGGCTATGATTTGATTAAGATGTGACATCTGTGAGGCATGGGCGTGGGTGTTGGGGAGGATGGAGCCCACGTAATTGGCCCTTAAATTGAAGAGTGGAGACACCTGAGCTTGGGAGTGTGAGATCAGGCTTGGGAAGCCCTGGGGCAGCCTCCCCTTTTCTTAAAGATAAATACATCAAGGTGTGGCAGGTGAGGGGAAGGGAAGATTGCTCAAAAGACAGTGAAGTTGGCAAGGGCTGAGGGGGCTCCAGGGGCATCATGGAGAGGGATCCTGTTACACTGGTATGTAGATGAAATGGGAACTTAATTCATTGTTTCAGTTGAAGATTTTTTGCTAATACTGCCTCCTGTCTCTTTCATCCTAAACAGGGCCTATTTTGCTGGACACTGGATAAATGTGTGATGAGAGACAGGCCCTGCCTCGAAGAACTTACTGTCTAAAGAGGGAAAGGGTAGGAGGCATTGTAAAGGTAAGAGCTTTTAGGCCAGGGCCCTATCTATGAGAATACCCCATCACCCACGAAGTGAACACACAGAATCATTGTTCTACTCTTGCACATGACAATATGCATGGAAATCCAACTGTGCCAGCATGCAGAAATATAGGACATCTTTAACCATGCTCTGGAGTGGGGGTGGGTTAATTAAAGTGGCTCTGAGAGCAGCTCTAACTAAAGCACCTGCAGCGTCACGTGTATTCAGCATCCCACTCTTCAAAATGGTGGCAGGGATGCTTTAACTAAAGCTCGTTACATGAGATTTAGTTAAAGCACCCCTACCACCACTTTGAAGCACAGAGATGCTGAATACAAGTGATGTAGAGACTGCTGGAGCATGCTAATTAATACACTTCAGTAAGCTTGACTAATATAGTCTGCTCCAGCATGTGCTAATTAGCACACACCAGAGCAGACATCTGGCATGTCTATAGGTGCCCATAGACCCCCTCCCTTTCAGCCTCTACATACTGCTGTAGGTTTTTGGTGTGTGCGTAGGGTGGGGTTCTTCCCTGAATTAAAAGTTCTACAATAATTTGAACCTCCATTTCCTGGTACCTTGGGGACACCTGGATGTGCGGGCACTTTGACACAAAACTGAAACTAAACTCTCCCAGGATTACATTTCACTCTTATGGTACTAAAGGTACTTGCAGAAAGGAGCCCAATGCAGCCTAGAAAAAAAAGGCAACAGAGGCAGTTAATAGGATGGGGCTCAAGTTGCCATGTGATGATAGATGAGACAAACCTGGGTTGTTTAGGATGGAAACAGGAAGTGCTGGAAGGAGTGTGACGGTGCTATGCAAGCTGAGCAGGAGGATGAAAGCTGATCCATCCCACCCTTTCTATGCCATTCCCAAATACAAAAACTAAGGGATTGATGTGAAAGTTATAAATGACCAGCCAGTTTAGAGGCGATAAAAGGAAACGAGGTGTCCTGTAGCATGTAACCACCATGGGACTTCATGGCCTCTCTGGACCATGGAGCCAATGTATGTGGGTGTTGGGTTTTTTTTTTAAGTAATATTTCTTTCTATAGCTAATAATAACATTTGAAGCCATGATGGTGACAACCACAGCTCCTGAGGCTGGGCATCCACAGTCCAGGATCTCTCACAACTTCTCCCTGTCCTGTACAACATTGCGCAGTGGGTTGGAATGGCGCACTATGTTGGGTACCCTCAATATCCCCGATGGAGGCAGAGTATTCCAGATTAAGCAGGTGATAAGATGCATTCTGGTAGCTTGGATTTCCTGATATGCCCTCCTCTCAGTCCTTCATCTCTCGAAACAACTGTAAACACTTGCTTTGTTGTCCCAATTCCTTCCCCAGATTCACAGGAAGTCCTGAAGGACTGCTTCATGAGATGGACTGGTAACTCATCCTCATTCTGGAGGGTGGCTAGTCACACAAATCAACCCAGGCTGGATAGGGTAAGGGGTCCTTTGCCTCTCTCTAAGCTTCACTCACATACAGAACCTCGGCAAACTATAGCTGGATCTCAGGGCTGGCTTGGATTAGTGCCACTTTTACTCTCACCCCTTCAACCACATGCAGAGTCACCTGCCCGTACTCATTTTAGAAATGGGCCTGGACCATCCACATCTGACCTTCCTCAGTCCGGGAAATTAAGCTCCAGTTTGATTTGGCCTATTATGGAGTTGGGTACCACTGTAATATACAGGTCTGAATTGCTACTCCCCCACTGCTCACAGGGACTTGATTCTGGAATTTGCTTCAAGCCCAATCAAGCAGCTCACACAGCATAAGAATCCCCTAGCCAAAATGCTGAGGTAGGACCTTTTGTTTAGGCAAGAAGTAACCCCTCCTTGGCCCATCCTAGCCCCTGAAAGGCACAGGAGATGCCTTGAATGTCCAGAAATCCTAGGTTCGGAGATTAACACCCTGCTCATGAGCTATGCCTGTGTGGTGCAGCATGATCTGGACCATGAAGCAGCACTGGAAACCTTGCCTTGCCATACAATGTTCCTGCCCCCTGTCCTAGAAGACAGAGCCCCTGTTGGATCCACTACCCCCATCCCTGGCCTTCCCTACCCCCAGGCAGACTGCATTAGGCTCTATGGTGCACCCCCTGTACCATGGACAGGTACCAGCTCTCCAGTGTCTGTGACTGTTCAGAACAAGAAGAGTTTGGGGCTTTCATCCCAGCCTCATAGTGGAGGTGGCATTACCATAAGCCAGCTCCCAGTTCCCAGAAACCTTGCCTCCTACTCCGCTGCGAAGCCTGAGACAGCCTGAAAAACTGGTTTTTGTGCTGCAGCCAGCACTGCTGTGCCGTTGCTATGTTTTGCCATGGGTAAGCAAGGCCCATTTCTCATTTCGGGCAGTGACGTGAGCTGTGTAAATCTGGAACTGGTTAACATGGGCCACAGCATTCCAGGGAGAGCTTCTCCTCTGAGTTCCTGTTTGGCTGAGCAGCATGCACACTAGCCAGCTTCTCGCATTCCTCTCCCAGCACCCAGCTAGCAGGGCTGCAAGAAAGCCAGCAGAAGAAAGCACAGCAGTTGGTTCAAACTGCAGAGGGTTCCCCATGTCATGGAGAATGGTTGGGTCAGATATGGGGGGTCCAAAGGGCCATGCTTGGATCTGATTCAGAACCGTCCCTCTGTCTCCAGGGAAGGAGAATGTTTTCTAAGAGACAAAGCGGAAGACTGAGGCTTCACCCATTTTCATTTCTTTGTGGGCAAATCAACTAAAACCTTGGTTGGGTCTTGGCATCCTCCTCTTCCAAGTGGGAACAGCAATCATGGCCTCTTTCACAGGAGGCCTGGAGGACCAACTGAGGAATATAGCATGTGCTGAGATCTGCAGATGGAAGGTGTACTGGACTGTGAAGGAGTGCAGCCTTTGGTCTTAAGAAGCCAGTAATAAATAAAAAGGGCTGGCCTACATTGTAACACAAATCTCATGAACCTCTTCTGTAGCAGAAGCATGCAATGCTCAGGCCTGTATGGTAAAAGCTTTGGTCTTTTCCATCTTCTTCCTTGGGAGTGGAGGCTCCACAGAAATGGAAGGCACAACCTAGTGGAAAGAATCATTAATGTCAGGATCATTAGTAAATCTCTGCATATTGCCCTGCTCCTGGTGAACCAGCCCAGCACCAGCTTCCTGAGATATGGAGACTAAGGCATGGGGGCAGGAGGGTTTTTCAAGGGCTCACTTCACACTGCCACTGTATTAAGAGCTTTGTTCTTTTTCCACCCCCTTTTGCCAGCTCCTTCTTTATAAGGAGAAATGTAGGGGCTGCTGCTGCTGCTGACCAAAGTCTTGCTGGGATTGCACAAACGCTAAGCTCTGTTGTGTTTGTGGCTGGTTTTCGCCAACGTTACTAGGGTACCAGGAGTGACTAATTCTCTCCGAACTTTCAGTTTCAGCCTCAAGCACTATATTTCTAAAGAACCTGGGATCTGGGGTAGAACTTGCAGACAGCTGGGAGCCGCATCAATCTGCGGCATGCACACATAGATTGCTCTAATATTCTGCAGTGCTTTCTTGCACTTTTAGGATTTTCTGCAGGGTTCACCCTGCCACTTGCTGAGGCCACTTTGGGACTCAAAAAGGAGATCTGGAAAGAGGCATTCACCTGCCTGCTCCTCTCATTGTGGCTTTAAAATAACAACAGGAATGCTGTAACAGAAAAATGATGAGCATCCTCATGCGGTCTGTTTTAAGAAGTATAATAGAGAGCTGATTGCTTCCAGAAGGAAGATGATAATCCTTTTATATAACAGCTTATATTTTCAAATCACTCCTTGGACACTAACTCTTTAATCCACAATCACTGAATAAGAAATGCAAGATGTACACCTGCCCAGTGGGATTGGTACACCTGCCTTCTGTGTCTGGGGAACATGGAATTTATCTGCATTTTAGGTCAATGAACCCATAACATCCACTTTTCTGCTTTCCTATGACCTGAAGGGTGCAGAAAAGTCTTGATGATACCAGCATGCCTCTTTGCTGTCCTATGCACTTGGAATACCCGGAGAGGCTGGGGCTCAAACACATTGGAAAAGTACAGCAAGTGCAAGAGGTCACCAGACTAATGCTTTTGGGAGGAGTTTGCTTCCCCATCTCATGTGAAAAGAAATGTACAGCTGGAAGTCTGCCATGGAAATGGGTTTCAATAATAGCCGGAGCTCCCTGAGGGACTCTCCTGGAGACCGACTCATGTGATGGATGGGGGGGGCGAGGAGGGAGGAGAGGGGTGACGTGCCAGATCCTTGCTCAGTTATGAATGGAATGTCTCTAGCTCCCTTCAGGAACTCTGTGTTCCTTCCTGAGATATTAACGTCACCAGCTCCCTGCAAGGAGCACAGGCAGGAAAGCTCGCACTGCCCTTCTGGTTCCCACCCTCCTTTGCGCTAGATCCTGTTTTCTTGACCCCACATAAACAATTCCTCCTTTCAGAAGCAGGAGATGAGGGAAATGAATGGAACAATGGCAACAGGTTGCCCAGTCTAGGCTGATTACCAGCTAAAGCGATTAGCTCCCAAGCCCAGCTGCTCTCGCAGTCCAAGCGGCAACAAGGACAAGCTGGTTCTCAGGAGAGGCAATTGCACTGGGGCATAAATCCTGCAGGTCTTGTCAGTGAAGGGTCTTTTCCTTTTGCTTGAACATCTGGTGGTATGGGGAAACCACCAACACTAATGGGTTTGTATGATCAACCACTGAAGACCAATGTCTCTGTCACCTGCTACTGTGGCATAGCAAACTCTTTCTAGTGTAGGCAAGGCCCTAGGTCAGGGGTTGTCAACCAGGGGTATGTGTACCCCTGGGGTACTTGGAAAGGGGCTAGCGGGTACACGTGGGCATGCAGGGATGGAGCGCCACCACCCTGTGCTGCCGCCTCCCAGAAGCAGGGCTTGGGGGGAGGGGGCTGAGGGTAGTGGCGCCCCTCTGTGGGCTGCACAGGCACTGCCCAGACGAAGGGGGCTGGAGCTTGCACGCAGCCATCGCCATCCAGCACCCTGAGCTGCTGTGTGCAAGCCCTCTTCACCCCCCACCCCTGCACCTCGCCAGAAGTGTACCTAGAAAGGGTACACTCCTTAAAAAAGGTTGAAAACTCCTGCCCTAGGTAAATAGCTCCTGTCCCTTTATTTGACAGCTGAATCCAGCTTCTGCCAATTCATCCCAGTTACTCTGTAAATCACAGTGTTTCATTCTTCTCTATGAAGGCCATACTTTACCCATTAGGGGAGGAGCCCCGGTGCACAGTTCTGCACTGTTATCGTTTCATTCATTATAGTGGAAGCCAGACCAGACAGGGCCCCACTTGTTCAGACACTGAACAAACAACAGGGGCTCCTGCCCCAAAGAACAAGTCCAGGTGCCACTATGCACTTGTAGCACCACTGGGCAGAAGGAATGGTGCTCTGCGCCCACAGCTGTGAGCCCTCCAAAAACATCATAGATGACAAACTAAACAGACAATGGTTTCATAGAGGAATAATGTCTAGAGCGAAGACTACTGCTGGGTACTTGGAATGAGTCACAGTAAGACCCTCATAAGCTGAGGGAGCTGGTTTTCTTAAGAGATCTACAAACACAAGTAATCCAAAGAGCTGGAAGTCTGTCCACTGCAGCTGTGTCTCTTGCCCCTGTAGGGACTCTTCCAGTGCAGCTGTCCTCTCCATTGCCCCCAGTGCAACCACCCATGTTGTGGGCACTGTCTCACTGAAGCCACACTCTTCTCTGGTCTCTCCATCGCTCCTGCTCCCTGCACTGGCAGTGCATCCTGTGGGCACTCCCTCATGCAGAAGCTTCTGCTGATTGGTTAGCAAACTTAGTGGGTAGGACAGCAATAGGCTTTTTATAGAGCACAAGGCTCTGGACATTACTGACAGGCCCCTGTGTCCTGGGCCCTGTTTGACTGCACAGCAAGAGGTAGCAGCGGCTCACACAGCTTGGGAAGAGGATAAACATACCGCAGCGTCCACCAGGCAACAGGGCAAACAGTGGAGCATGTCTGTAAACAGAACCATGGCCCCATCATTCCTGACAAGTGACTGTACAGATGGCAATGGCTGCGCTATGGAGGCAGAGCAGGCTGAGCCGTCCAGGTTGCTCTTCCTGCACACCCGTCCCTGGCTGGAAGGACCAAGCCAAGCATTTCACATGCAAACCATCCACCCCCTACAAGGAGTGTCTTTGGGGAGGGGGCCCAAAGTTGTGTGCACAGCTATCATCAGCCAGCATGGCTTCAAGGGTGGGGGGGAAAGGGAGGGCAGAATGAGGACTGGAACTACACGTGGGGGCTGCAGGCCAGCCTGCAATACATCACAGGAGATGTGTGACGGTGCAGGTCTGGAGGAGAGAGAATCTTGGACTACAGGGCACTGGCAACTTTGGGGGAGATGGGGCACAGAATGGAAATAACTGTCCATAGATAATGCAGTTATAAGATGGGCCTGGTTCTCCTCTCCCTTATTCCACGTGAAGTCGTTTACCTGGGCACAATGGTACAGCCAACTTAGGGTCCACTGCTGACCTTGTGGTGTCACAGGAAATCAGGGAATCAGGATTAATAGAATCTAAGGGCCAGAAAGCCTTTTAGGGGAGTGATATGATCATTCAGAAGGAGGGAAAACAAAGATGAGGTCAATTAAAAAAGCAACAGTGGTGGACTTTCTCCCTTCCATGGACATAGGCAGAAGTTGGCATGGAATTCAGAAACTCAGATGCAAAGAGACGGTCAGCTTGTTAAAACTGCAAGAGGGGATGAGAGGGGAAATGGCTCTTTGGGAGTCAGTCTGGCTGTCAGTTTTACTGATTCTCATCTGTGTGTGCACAAGCACCTCAGTGCCTATGAAAAGGTACTGTAAGATGGAAACTCTAAGGGTATGTCCACCCTGCAGTATAATGTAGCAGTACCCAAACAGGTTTTAAATTAGTTAGCTGGGATACTAGCACCAGTTTTGGCACAGCAGCATAGAGTTCAACACAGGCTAATTCATCTTAATTGACTATGGATGCAGCATAGACATTTCCAGGCAAGTACAAGCTCTCCAGGGAGATACTGACCCTCAATAACCATATAGTCTTTCACATTGCCAATGCAAGTGGATATGGGCTAGGGGGAACATGCAACAAGGAGCTAAAGTTCAGTGGGATTTAACAGTCCAAAAGAAACGTTCTGATCAGGAATTGCATCCTCAGCCACTGACCCATCTTCAGCTTCCTGCAAACGTGCCCCAGGCTTTGATCCTGAGCAACAGCTTGATGTTACTGAGCTTCTGAGAAATAAGAATAACCTGTCAGCTGAGATCAATGGCCTCTTCCCTGCCATTCAGAAATCAATCATTTCCCTATTAAAGTTGAACATAAGCCTAGGAGCAAGGAATCCCCATGTTCTAATCCTTCTTTGACTTCCTCTTTGGACTTGGGCAAGTCATAACCTCTCTGGAGTCAGTTTCCATGTATGTGAAATGGGGGCAGTACTTCCCTAGATCACTGGGACTGTAAGGAAAGATTGTCTATACATCGCTAAGTATAGGACACTCATATCTTCATTCCAGCTGTAGCCCTGCATTCCACTCTCTTGCTCCCCTAAAGGTCATTCATTTGAATGGCTTCACCAAGCTCTGCTATCTCCATTGCTAAGTCCCCTTCTCCAGCCATCACCTGGTCTCATGCAACTGCAGCTATCAGCTGACCACCACAGCACCCTAGCACTCAGTCCTTCTGTGACATCCAGTCCATCAGCACTGACGACTTTTTGTCTATCCTACGCCCTCTGCTCCTCTTCTCCCATTATTGTGATTGTTGATTTTCTCCATTCTTCACCTCACCTCACCATTGGCTTTCACACCCTTCCCTTCCAACACAAGGTTCACCTGCTAACCTCCAGCCCAAGTTCATGTACAGCATCTCCTCCTCCTGCTCCTGTTCCTGTGCAGTGGAATGTCTGTGGCAGAAATCCTACGGTCAGGCTGGCTTCCTCCACTACAAATTCTGTATCTCCTTCAGTTCCGCCCTCTCCTAATTGTACAATTCTATTTCCCTATCTTAACTGAACCCCA